GTGTTAGTGACATGAAATTGCTTTGAAGTGAAATGTTATCAACATTTCAATTTTTTAGTAATGTGCCAGAATACTACAGAACCTGACACTTCACCTTTGTCTTCAGGTGTTCCCTTTAATGCGTAGTCACAAGTTCGTGGAATCAACTTCATTTCATAGTCTTATCCTCCTATCTTAGAGATAGTGCGTTCTTGCTCACGACGCGTACCCTCATCTGCTACGAGATTTGGTACATTCGTAGCAGAACACGTGTTTTGAAGAACAGCCTTCTCTATTGAAATCGCAGTAATGTCACGGGTAGAAAGAGAGACGAAAAAAAACCCTAATGATATCTCCGTAATAAGAGCTAAAGAGGGAGATGACTGATGATTAACAATACGAGATAAAGACAGAGGTGAAAACAAACAATACAAATGAGATAACATATCAGCAACAACATGCAAAGAGAGTGATAACACCAATTAAAAACGAAAGACGAAGGATCACTCCTGCTTCGTATTCGGGATGTCTGGGGTTCAAATTTCGGTCAAGATACCGGCTACCGTGACTGAATTTTTCGTGGTCTGCAACCCTACAAGGTAAATTTGGCCACAGCCGCTTCTTTCCACATGTTTTTCAATTAATTGTTCATTAACCTTCACTAATTCTGAGCTGTTGAGAGCCACGTTAAATAAAGCTCTAAGTGCAGAGTTAGTAGAAAGGCAAGATGTCTGGGTTGAGAGGACCTTAGAAACGATGGTAGACTTCTACCAGACTACACGGCGCTACAACCCAGAAGACAGAGCCATCTTCGGACTCACCGCCATGAGAACCCCAAATCCTGCCTACTGTTAGGGGCTTGTGTTTTCAATTGTTCGGTAAAGGCGTGTTTTGGAGGACATGAAGGTACAAAAGGGTTGAAGGAAATGGAGAACGGCCCGGGGGAAGGGGGAATTTCAAAGGGCCTTTTATAATTCTTGCTCAATACATTTCTGTAAGAATTTTCTTGAATTATTAGACTACAGTACACTCCCGATTATTCAGGTTGGTTGTGAAATATATTTTACTGGCTAATCAAAACCCCACATTACCCGCAAAAATGAGAGAAAAATATGCAGATGTAACAAAGAAGATTATACACAGACATACTTCTTAAATTTCTAAAGACAGGCTAATAACAGGATTTTATATAAAATTTAATACTGTAAGGAGCAACTATTTTTTAAAACGGATTCCAGCGGACAGTAATAACGTCCTATTGTATTAAA